CTAATCATTCTCGCTATATTAGCCTTTTCAATACAATGCGAATGAGCCCACTAACAAACCACTACACTGAAAAAATGGCTCACGATTCAAATGTGTCAAGTGGCTACGCACAAACAAAACACAACACAATCACTTTCACTTAAGGCAGTGTAGCACGTTTTATTCATTTGCAGCCACTTGACACATCTGAATTGCGCAAATTCAATGCACCTGTCTCAAACCTTCACCACAAGTTTTCTGCGTGTTTTGATTAAACATAAGAAACAGCAAAAAGAACTACTTAAAAGAAAGTTAAAATAATGCAGGCCAATCGTTAACCATGTCTCGTCAAGGGTTTACCGACGTTTAGTGATGAACTGATGAACCACAAGGTACCTAACAAATTGCGTACGTAACAAATTACACATTTTGTTGATCCTCTACTGGGACAGTGAAACTTATTCTGCAAATTTAAGTGCATATTCTATAAGATATTTAAGAAAAAAATGAAACATAAAATATAAAATGTGCCATTTCTTTTGAACAGTGTTGTTATTTTTCCATATGTTAAACTGTGCAGCAGTGTGTTCTCTGTAGAGGATGTTTTCATGCTACCAGTTCTCAGTCGGACTCGCACTTCAACACGAACTCCAATTCCCAAGACTCCTCAGTTTGTCATGTGACTCAGCCAGCCAATCAGAATTCAGTCAGCAGATCCCAGTCACCTGAGTACTGGTTATGTTCACCTGTTTGCCTGTGTATCTATACACATTGCGAAGTGTTGCCCTTGTTCCGTCAGTGCATACCGAGTCACTTTCTTGTTTGCTGCTTATCTCGTGTTTGACTTTGGTTTGTTTCTCTGTTTTCGTCTTTCAGATTATCCCCCATTGGCTTTGTTTACATGTTAGTTGGATCTCTTGGTTTCTGCTCACATGTATTGTGTTTTTCTCTACAGGATTTTGAACTGGAGCTTTGTTAACCCTGTTTTTTGTATTAATCCTTTTTCAAATAAACCTCCTGGTTAATTTTATATTCGCGAGTGTCTAATTCGTCAGTCCTGCGTTACAGGGGCGTTCAAACTTTTGCATCTGTCTGTCTAATTAGAGCTGGGTATCGTTAAAATGTTTACACTTCGATACAGTACTGATAGCTATCAATTCTTCTTCTGCTTCTTTCGATACCTTTTTTACAGCTACGTTTTGGGGATTTGGAGACCTCTGTGGTGGAAATGTGTAATTACACACAACGTTTTGTATCATGGGTTGTGCCTCGGTTCATTTCCCCGAGAAGATAAATCTGAAGACTGAAAGACAATTCAAAGAGAACTCAGTCTAAACTTGGTAAAGGAGCGTCTTCTGAGGATGTGAGTGAATCATCTACTATTGTCACCACATCTTCATCTGTATTATGTTGATTTTGAGATCATTTGAGGCCTGAACATCGAGCCGGACCTTCTTTTTGAGTCTGTGTGTGTGACATTAATACGAAAAGACGTACGACGTGGTGTGAAAAACCCCCAACCCGACTCAGTAATGATACTTTCTTCAGTTTTAACAAAAAAATCTTACAACACTTTTAAGAAAGATGGTTCTTCAAGGGTTCTAATGTAAAGACAATGTTCAAAAACAACAGCCCCGAAAGGGTTCTGCTACTGTTATGACATCAAGCTCAAAAAAAACATATAGAACCATGTATATTTTTCAAAACCACTGTATGTAGAACCACATACAACACATTCTCCATCAATCTAAAGAGCAAAAAAAAAAACATTTAAGCATGCAAATCACTATCTTTACTCAAGAACCCTTGAAGAATCATCTTTTTTAAGAGAGTGACAGACTGTGGACTAATCACAAAGCGCTGACGTTAATAACATGTTTACAGGATGTAATTTGGACAGCCAATCAGCAATCTAGTTTTTGGAGGAGGCATGCCTATTGGCTCATAGATGCTGCTAAGACTGGCTACATATGTTTTGAATTCTGGTACTGAATTACATCGAATACTCAGTAGCATTTAAGTATTTCCGTCGGTACCATAAAAGCACTGAATTTCGATACTCAGTCCTTATCACGAGTGCAATATGCAGCCAGATACATCTACATTAAGGCATTTTCTCCATATCTTGTAGCCCTGGCGTGCGTGTTCATGTGCACGCTTAGGATCTTGCAGCGTCTGGGCGGAGAAGCCGCACAATAGGCTTTCAGAAAGAGCCAGCTGAGCTGCAGGCCGTGGCCGTGACCTTCCGGCAGCTTCCTTTACCTGGCGAGGCCTCCTCCCACCGCCTGCCTTTCTCTCCGCTCCGCTCCCCAGCCGCTCGCCTTCCATTAAAGAAACCAAGAAGCACAGGCGCTAATCAATACCAGCGCCTCTTCCTCCACTCCGCTTTGTGCCTAAAATCAAGACCTTTCCCAGCAAATATTCCTCTGTCTGCAAGGAAGCGTGACGCTAATGCCGCAGGGTCGCCGATTGTCGGGTGGGAAGAAAACACTCGGTTGACCTGAAATGGGGAGAAGGCTCTGTGCACCACGCAGGACTGTTTTCGTACGCGTACTTTCTTGGACTCTGTGACTTTGACTGTAATAGAGTCCAGTACAGTATTTAGACACTCTACTGTATGTCCACACTGCGCTGACCTCTCCTGAATGGCTAGCAAAAGTCTACTCTGCCTCCCTGTCCTCCTTCTCTTTCCTTTTTTTCTTAGAGTTAATGCTCACAATCAGGGTTGATATTATTATTTTTAATAAAAACTAGTTCTGAAAGGAAAAAAGGGCTGAAAAAGTGCACAGTTCACTGTAATAGACTGAAAACGAGCAACAAGAATATAACTAAACAGTGTTACAGAGAACCTAGACTGTGTTTAGGACACGGCTTCTAAACTCTTTCACCTCATGGCCCACCTGTTTTCTAGAAAGCATGAAGGCCCACAGAAAAACAAAACTCAACTTTTTTGCTTAAAAATGTTTTTTTTTGGGATATTTTTGACACAGCTATGTTTGGGTCCTAACCTGAAATATGCAAACTGTATCAGTGAACAAAAAATATTAACAGAAGCTTGTTTTATACCAGAAATCAGACAGAATAATAATAATAATAATAATAATTTTCACTACCTGCTTGTTTTAAATGGCTGTTGTAGTAACAATACTATGAAAATTAAAGGGGAATTCTGCCCTTTTTAAAATTTCCTCTATAACAGCGTTTGAGATGCAAACAGAGTGATTCAGAGTGGTTTGGTGTGAAATGGTTCAGATTTCTCTACAGTGGTGGTGATAGGAACCAGGGGTCACCATGAAATAGTACGTTTTCTCCGGGGACTATTTTGCCTCATTACACCCTTCTTGTACCCTTCCACCATGAATGGATTAAAATGAATTAAATTAGACCAAAACCTTGAAGAAACTATCACAAAACAACGTCTTAGACATCAAACAACATATTAATAACTATTTTTAATGTAGTAACTTTCTGTGAGGGAGCTTTTAGAGGTGGACGTCTGGTTCCTATCAGCACCACTGTGAACAGTTCTGACTCTAGAACGGAGCGTTTCACACCAAACCACTCTGAATGACTTTGTTTACATCTTATCCATTTAACTGTCCAGAAATTTGGAAAATTTTCTCTCCTCTAACTAAAAGATAAACACCCCTAATCAAGACTTCATTGTGTCTTAAGCCTTGGATGCACTACACGACTTTTAGTCCTAACAGGCCTTTATTAGCATATAGCCGTCTTCTGTGTTAAGTATTAGATATCAATATAATAAGTGTAATATAGGGTGTTCTTGTTTACACAGTTGTGTGTTTGAATTGTAAATAGGCTTTATAAACATTTATTAACATTTGTAATGTTTATATTGTTAATTTATCACCGTCCCATGTGTAATATAATCAATACTCCATGTGCAGTTTGGGTAAAATACCCTTAAAGTGTAAATATTTTTTGCTTTTTTATTTTTATATGTTCATATTGTTAATTTTTGTGAATTATTATTGTGTATATTGTCTATATAGTAATATGTAACAAACTGTAACCGTTGTTAAGTAACTAACAAGCTTAATTACTCTTGTTGTGGGACTAATAAAGGATTATCTTATCTTATCTTGTCTTTAGCCTCCTCACGTTATCCCCCCCCAATTCATCTGCACCCCCACATCAGTGGCTTGTGAGTGGACAACTGAAACATCGGGGGAGTTTATTTGGCCTCTAGGTGTGAAAACCTGACGAAGCTGCTTTAGTGAGTCATTGTTATAGGGCTTATATTAATACTGTTCACTGTTTATAAACATTTTATATTTGTTTTATATTGTTAAGTCAATTTTTTTCTCACTGATTTTTCATGACAAGCTGCCATAACCCACTACACCTACTACAGACCACCGGCTCCTCCTCAGTACTGGCCCACGGACCATCAAAGGGTGCTTCGTGGTCCACTTAAGCTCTGCATCCCAGTGGTTGATTAACCCTGATCTAGAACAGATGCGCCCAGTCCTGAACTCAGAGATCTGCCACCCTGAGTTTAACTCTAACCACAACACACCTGATCCAGGTAATGAAGGCTTTCAGGGGGCTGTGACTATTCAGTGCTACAAACCAAAACTAAAACTGATACTAAATAAAAACTAAAACTAAGTAAATAAACTGAATAGAAACTAAAAAAAAAACATTTCAGAAAATGAAAACAAGTAAAATTAAAGCACCCTTAAAACTAACTGAAACTAAACTCAGCAGATAAATAAATAATTTATAATTTATAAACTATAATGACTCAAATAAGCTCAACTAAACTTGACCAGAAAAAATAAATTCCAATTTATCTTCTCTAAGAATCAGCAATGATTGTCTGTGTGAATATTTTAAATTCTCTCAAAAGTATTTCAAAGTCTCTCTTACAGTGAGCAGCACCCACTTATATATATATATATATATATATATATATATATACACACACACACATATGTGTGTGTGTGTGTGTGTGTGTGTGTGTGTGTGTGTGTGTGTGTGTGTGCAAATTGACTTACATTAAAAGTGAAGTAGGTTTTTTTCTTCTCCTGTAACGGAAATAGAAGGTTTTCTTCTGACGACAGGGATATATGTATTATATATATATATACGTGTGTGTGTGTGTGTTTATTGTTTATTAACAGTGGCTGCCTTAGTCTAAACATACCTCTATAGGTATCCCACCAGGTCCACACTTAATTCCCTAAATCCCATTTGGGTGTGTATGTATCCGTTTAACGCTCCTAATGGAAAGAGAGCAGAAGGTACAACATGGCTTCAATGTTGTGGGTGAAAGCCCACCAACATCAACACCCCCCCTCCCTTCTATCTTCTCTGGCCCACTTTAATTCCACAGTAACAAACACTCGTTAAAGCAGATTAATTCCACAAGAGGATTACACTCTATATTAGATAATGAAAGGAGAGAGAGGGGGAGAGAGAGAGAGAGAGAGACAGAGAGAGAATAGTAATCAAATAAAGGGCTGATAGTGGGTATTTGATCTGGAGAACAGAGAGCTAATCCAGGTGAAACGCGTCTAAAGGAGGCAGGAGGACTGTGCATACAAGCGACATCTGGATGGACCTGAGCCTTTTAGTCTCCGCTGTCATTGGGCGACTAATAACACTGACCTATAAAAAACACAAAAAAAACATCGACACCAAAGCTAAGTAACAGATTTGACCACCCTGAATCACAAACACTGTTAATTACTATTCTACTGTAATTTTTTAACAGTTAAATACTGCTTCATAATTTTATTGTGAACTCAGGCAAACTTAATATGACATATTTATAAAGTCATCAACATTTAAACAAAAACATTTTAAGTGTTTTTATTCTGATGATACAGGTTTGGTGTTTGAAAGACTTTTGAAGTTTTACACTAATTATATTTTATTTTATTTTAGTGTATTTATTTATTTATTTACTTATTTATTTATTTATTGATTGATTGTTTAAACGCTGGAATTCTGAGGTCTTGACAAAAACTGCATTTTTTTTGTTTTTTTTTGTGCCAAAAAGAGTTTTTAGTCATGTTTGTACAAGTTATAAGCAAAGCTAAAGTTGCATTTTTGAAAATATATATTTGAGATATTCTGTGCACACACACTGTAAAATATGGTAAATAAATATGTATTTTTATTAACTTATAAATCTGGAAAAAGCTCAGTTGTTTTATATGTAAAGTTACAGTACAGTAACTGTTCTGTAAAAATACAGGCGGTTCTTTACTGTTAATATGGTTCTGTAATTTACTGTAATTTTGCAGTGAGTTTTTTCTCCATTGAAACTGACATAGGACAACAAAACAAGTGGTGGTTTTAGCGCAACTGATAAATCAGCTTCAGTACCTTATTTACATATCATTTCTAAAAGACACACCCCCTCTACATATAATGTATATGAAGCAGCCCTAAATTCATGTACATATTTTGATAGTGAGCCATTACAAGAAAAGTATTCAGTGTACACTGCCCCCTCTACTGGCCAGAGCTCGAATAGCTTTGTAGTGTTAAAATTAACACTAGAAATTTAAAGAACAAGCTAAAAACAATTGAAAGGAATAAAAGCTATGTTAAGCCCTATTTGGACGGGATTAGTTTTGCATGAGGAGGTGGGTAATGCACATTTTACTAGCGTGTCTTAGTGATTTTAGTCTCGTCCAAATGTGCCGTGTCACTGACGTGACTTCAGACAGCACAGTAAGTAAACAAAACAATGGCTAAATGAAATGTTTTGATGTTTTCTACTCTTTTCTGGAGTGAAGGCGGGCTGTACCTCACATCAGTCCCATCTCTGTCATTCATACTGATATTTTATCCTGTTTGAATGAGTCATAAACTTCACAGGCGTCTTGTGATTAACTGGCATTACCCACCTCTCCAAGGGAAAACTAATACTACCCGAAAAGGGCTTTAGTATTCTACAGAAACACTATCCGTATGATCCTCCCTCTGAAATAGGACCCTCAAATAAAAAGGGCATTACTTCATTAACAGCTACTAGCGCTGCTCTGTAGGCGACCCTGCCAGTCTGCAGTGACAGCAGAGGAGGGTAAAGTTCAGCTCCTCACTGCTTTGCTTTAGTTACATTTTGGGAATCATATGCCTTCAAAGAGGGGGGCAATTATTTATTATCACCCACCCCTAATTCTTCAGTGATATGAAGCTGAAGTCAGGTATTCGCCAGATTCTCATTAGAGTTTTCCCGTTCCACCTTAAATGGAGCAGCAGTTACATTCTGGTGCCTCAGGCATTTAAGGTGGAATGTGAAATTTAGCTAGCTAGCTACTGAGACATCAGCATACTACTACTAGCGGTTTTTGAGAAATGAAGAAAACGACCATAATACACTGAAACAACATTAAACTAAGATAATTCGATGGTTATTATAATTTTTAACAGAGAAAATTCTCACATTTGTGAGTTTCTTTGGTCTCTTGTTCAGCCGTCTTGCCGGTTTTTCTTGTTTCCTCATATCTCTCTGTTTGGAGTCTCTGAAAAACCTCCATTTGGAGGGTCATGTAGCCCCAACACTTCGCCCTCCCCCTCTATCTTAACAAGAATCAGGACACCCTACCCCTAGACGAGAACATGCAAAACAGAGGGCTAAGGGCTGAGTGAAAGGGGCGAGGGGTGAAATGGGACTGGGCCTTACTATATTAGTCGTGTAAAGCCTCTAAAAAGAGCACCATTACATCCACTTTAGTACAAGACTTACTATGCGGACAGTTATTGTTATTATAATTGTTATTTTCAATTGTATTTATTGCTAATATTATCAAAATATTGATGATTATTTAACCACAAACGAAGTGTTGTTCAGGTTGTTAAAATATTAGCCTCAAATTTGATTAACAAAATTTCTATACAAGTTGTATGCAAAAGTTTGTGCACACCTGTTTTGTTGATTTTCTAAGTGTAAATAAGTGAAGACGTCCTCTACAGAGACACACTTGTGCACATTAATGCACGCTTACTGTTTATTTACTGAATTTAACACAGCCTGTGTGAAAGCTTTGTGAATGTTTTGTTTTTGTTTTTTTCCAGTACACTCTCAGAAATAAAATTTATGAATCTGTCACTCTCGTCACTGGGGTGGAACGCTCAAGGGTCCATCTCAGTACCTTTAGTCAGGGAACATAACTGAACCATAATCCACTGAAATGATATGTTCTAAGCTGTACTGACTCCACACACCCCGTCTCGTCTCCAGGCTTTTATTTTACTGTTCTGTTTTAAAACATTCGGTTATGAAAAGGTACAAATACGAACTTTTCACCTGGAAAAACTTACTTAAGGTTCACAATCAGACCTTAAAACCACTGTTGGAGCTTTGAGGGAACATTTACACTGTTTGTACCTTGATGAATGAAAAATGTTCCTGCACAGAACCTTTATTTCTAAAGTGTGTGTTAAACTAAGCAAATAAAAAGGAACTGCGCACTAAATTTATTGGAAAAATGCCACAAATCTGTGTACTTATTTTCAGAAAATCAACAAAACGTAATCTGACAGTGTTCAAACTTTTGCATTCGACTGTATGCGAGTCCTTGTTTGTGCTGTAAGTGTGTAAAGTGATGTAAAGCGATAAGTTAGTAAAGTGATGAGCTGAGCCTGAAGGTTAACACCACTGTGTGTGCTCTATTCAGCAAACTGAGGCTCTTCTTTATGCTTATGTCTGGAGATGATGTGAAAATAAGCAGTTTTGAGAGGAATGAATGGTGGCGGTGTTTTTGTGTCGGCCCTGTGAGAGGAATCCTTCCGTTAAGAGTGCTGTGTGTTAGTGTCCTCGTAGAAGAGGAAGGACTTGCTTGTGAACAATATGGTAACAATATGCTAATGAACAAAACGAAATGTTACTGTGCACTTAGAGCATCACGCCACTTGTAGGCCTTTTCTAAACCTTTTTTTTTTAATAAAACATGCAGTTGTTCACGGGATACTGTCCAGTGGGGAACCCTCTGGACCTTCTAGGCCAGGGATCGGCAACCCAAATGGTAGGGAGAGCCATTTTGTCGAGTTTCAACAAAAAATCAAACTACCTTGGGAGCCACAACATTTCAGGGTCCATTTTATTTAGGTAACGTTTCACCATCTTGGCTGTAAATATGCCTTAGTATGTGCTGATGTCCTAGCATAGACAAAAAAAAAAAGATGACTTACTTTGCTCTGCTTTAAGCTTTAGCTCAACTATAGCCGCTTTTCTCGCATCTCTGGCAGGAAACTTTTCCTCAAAAGTAGAACAGTTTAGTGTAAAATGTTTCTCAATGTTCAACGCTTCTCATGCGCCAGCTTCGTTTGGGTTTTCCCATTCCACCTTAAATGGTGCCTGAGGCACCAGAATGTAGCTGCTGCACCATTTAAATTTAAAACACCTCAGTGTCACTGCTGGACTGAGAATAGTCCACCAACCAAAAATATCCAGCCAACAGCGTCCTGTGGGCAGCATCCTGTGACCACTGATGAAGGACTAGAGGATGACCAACACAAACTGTGCAGCAGATGAGCTATCGTCTCTGACTTTACATCTACAAGGTGGACTGACAAGGTAGGAGTGTCTAATAGAGTGGACAGTGAGTGGACACAGTGTTTAAAAACTCCAGCAGCACTGCTGCGTCTGCTCCACTCAGACCAGCACAACACACACTAACACCACCACCACCACGTCAGTGTTACTGCAGTGCTGAGAATGATCCACCACCCAAATAGTACCTGCTCTGTGAGGGTCCATGGGGGTCCTGACCACTGAAGAACAGGGTAAAAGGGGGCTAACAAAGTATCAGAGAAACAGATGGACTACAGTCTGTAACTGTAGAACTACAAAGTGCACCTATATAGTAAGTGGAGCTGATAAAATGGACAATGAGCGTAGAAACAAGGAGGTGGTCAGAATGTTATGCCTGATCGGTGTGAGCTTAGTGCTAAAATACTACTAGAATCCTCACAGGGCCGCTAACAGAAATGAGCAATGTCAGAGTTTGTTCATGTTTATTTAGACATGATGTGCTGCTGGTATTGACAATACCAACAATAAGGACGGAAAAGCTTATCTACATGTAATGCATCATGATAATGACGTTAAATTGTCACATTGTCCACCCCTACAGGAAAGGCAATTTCACTTTGGTGGCACGCTGTCATTTGTCTGAGTAATTTACCCTCTGTGGGGCATCCTGGCAAGCCGGGATCAACAATGCTCCCACATCTTTCAGAGGTCAGAGAGTGCATTCTCACAAAGGCAGGACGCTCACAAGGACGGCTTAACTACAGGACCTTCTCTAACACGGGCCTGTGCACACAGGTTAAACTGGGCTGGAGTGGATC